TCCTCCTCCTCTCTCTCTCTCTCTCTCTCTCTCTCTCTCTCTCTCTCTCTCTCTCTCTCTCTCTCTCTTTCCCCTTTTCGCCCTCTCCCTGTGTCTGTGCAAGAAAACGGGGCCCCTTTCACGGTCCCCGCTAGGCCCTGTTCGTCGCAAATGCCTGGCGCCACGTGAGTGGCCAAATGCGCTCACGCCTGCCCCGCGCCCCGTTCACAGGACGCTCCAGCTGCCACTAAAAGATTGTGAGAGACGCAACGAGAAGGAAGCGAAGCGGCAGCAGGCATTTGCGCACAAACCAGAGCAGGGAAGAAGCAAAGAGGTGTGGGCAGGGGAGGCCGCGCTCCTTCGCCTGCGCGTTGCCCCTTGCGGTGAGCCACGCATCACCCGCCGTCTCACGCCCCCGCCCTCCTCATACTTTGTGTGTGTGTGTGTGTTGAGTCTCCTGCAGCCGCCTGACAACGTCACGCCACTCCGTCGTCCGCCGCAAAAGTTTCCAACTTCCCTGCATCGCTGCACACCGCCGCTGCCGGGTTGTCGTCCAGCACCTCCTTTTTTTTTTTTGTTCTGTTTTTCCTCCCCCCGCCTTCACCCCCAGATGCTCCCACGTTCAGTATCCTCTCAGTCGCCTCTCTCTCTCAACAGAAACACACACACACACCGCATCTGCTGCTCCGCGGCGTTGTGCTGCGCCTCCCGCGCAGCCCCGAGGCAGGCCAAAGTTTACGCCTCCCCCATCGCCCCGCAGGCGCCGCGGCAGCTTTTGCCCGGGCAGCACGACTCGCCCCTGAGGAAGATGTCCGCCGTGTGGGACCCCCTCCCTCGCAGCAGCGGCCCCGTCACACGGAACCCCGGCGCGCGGGCGAGCGAACATCCCCATTGGAAGGAGCACAAATAGTGAAGGAAATGGAACACAAAAAAAAAAGCAATACACGGCACTGCACGGCATGGCCTACACGGCGGGGTGCATATTCCACAGCGGCAGACGCGGGAGGAGCTACGGCCGCCGGGGCGTGGATGCGGTGCCAGGGCCGCTGCACTCCGTCAGCTCCGCCTTGACGGCGGTTGGGTTCACGACGTACTTCACTCCGCTGCGCCGCTCCGTCACCACGCGGCAAACGGCCCTCCCGCACCCGCTGCAGCACCCCTCGAGGACGGTCGGGTCGCTTCGCTTGTTCACGTCCCTCAGGCACGCCTCCCGCCAGGTACGTGGCTGCGACCGCGCACAACCGCCGCCGCGCGGCTGCCGCAGCATCTCCCCCTCGACACGCAACCCACGGGCCGCCAGTGTCGCGGCCAACGGTGCCCGGCCTCCCTCCTGCACCGCGCTGCGCTGCAGCAGACTTCGTAGCCGGAGGACACTACTGCACACGGGGGCGATGAACGAGGGCCACCCGCTGCTGTGTCGCCCCAGAGAGCTGGACGCCGCATACTCCGCGCTACAAAACAGCGGCGAGTTGCACGTGCCACAGACGTATAGCAACAGGCAGGATGGCTCACCGCCCCGCACCCGCTGCCGCAACGCCTCTGACTCACCCGGAACAGGCGTAAACGGAGGATCCAGCAGCAATGGCGGGGACGCGGGGGAGGAGGGGGAGGGCGTTGCGTCAACTGCAGCCACTTTTGAGGCGGCACGCGACGGGGCACGCGTCGCCGCTGGTGAAGAGATTCCGTTGCGCGCGGCACCCCCCTCCCGCTCACGCGAGAGCCAGAGGAGGGAGTTTGACGGGCGGCCCGTGTGCACGTACCGACAGCCCACGCCGCCCGCCGGCCTCGACGGCGGCTTCGCCCCGCGCAGGAGCAGCATCCGCAGGGGGCGGCATAACGGGCGCGAAGACATCCACGACGCCTTTAAGGCGCGCTCTTTTTTTTTCTCTCCCCCTTTTTTTTTGAATAATGTGCCGCGCCACCGCAATGCGTTCGCCTCCCCGCCAACTTCGCGTTGTGAAGGCGGCGACAAAAGAGAAGAAGAAAAAAAGAAACAACAACAACAATAATAATAACAAAAAAATGGCCGTTCAAATGCACGTATGTGTGCGGGCGCGAGACGACGAAGGGAGCGACGCGGCCGCTACACCAATGGCAGCAGTAGTAATCAATAATATCACCGTCTCACCTCAAGTGCCCGCCACCACCACCACCACCACCGCTACTTCCGCCTCTTCCGCGCCCTCAGTGACTTTGTCGCACGTACGCCTCCTCGCCGACTCCCCCCACTGGGGCGCGGCGAAGCGCGAGGGCGCAGGCCTCTAAATAAACGCGTGTGAGCAGCGGGTCTGAGTTCCCTCGCTGCACGTAAAAGCAGAAAATTCATGGCGCGGCACGCAGCCACGTGCCCCGTTAGTGCGCCTCCGTTGCGTCGCAGATGTGCACCGGCGCCAGAGCCCCGTCCGCCGCCGTCCGTGCAGCCCACCGCGTGGGGGGTGCACGAAAAGCAAACAAAAAAAGGCGAGTGGCGAAGGCAGAGCCAAAAGTCAGGCGGCACTGGGGAGTGCCACTTGCGGCTGCAGAAAACCAAAACAAAAAAAAACGTAGGTAAGCACGCACAAAGAGGGAGCGAGAGTGAGTAAATACGAAAATAAAATAGTGTGCTCGTTTTTTTTTACTTTTCTTTTCTTTTCTTTTTTATTGTTGTGGTTGCTTCACTTACGTCGTCGTTTAGAATTCTTCTTCGACGAGCCCGTGGCGCCGCTTTCGGCAGCCGCACTGTGACTCGCCTGTTGCTGGTGCGGCGGATGCTGCTTGCCCTCCACGGCGTCGTCGCCGCGGGGGAGTTTAGAGCCGCTGAGCTCCTTGCGGACCACCTGCATAAAGTTTGACTTGAAGTAGTTCACCGACTTGGTGGAGGTGAGGATGGCGGTGTGCTTCTGCCTGCCACTCCCTCGAATGCGCACGATGCACTTGGTCGGCAGCACATCCCGCGCCTGCTCTCCGCCGGGGGCGTCGCCGCCGGTGTCGCGATACCCCTCCGTCGTCGTCGCTGCCGCCGAGACCCGCTCCAGCGGCGCCAACGGCTCGGCGACGGGGAAGTAGTAGCGCGCTGGCACCTGCGCCGCCTCGTGCAGCACGGCCGCGGCGGCGTCCGCCTCCGTGCCCGCCGGCGGGGCAAAGCGCCTCAGGATAGCGTTTTCTCTTGCAATGACGCCTGCCCACTCATCCTGCGTGAGTCGCGCGGGGGCCGCCGGCGCTGCGGCCGCGGCGGACGGCGCGGCATAACTAGGAATCGTCTGCTCAACGATTTGTCGCAGGAGTGCGCCCACCGGCTCCCGGCGAAGCATTCCGGCGGCAACCTCGTACTGCTCGCGGAGGTACTGCAGTCCCTCGTCCCCGTTAGGCCCACTGCCGTCGTCGAGGAGGAGCCCCGCCTCCTGCGCCTGCTGCCACGCGGTTTTAATGTACTCCTCCGCCCGCTCAAGCGCCTGCACCCGTCGCCGCTCCGAGAGGCGGCCACGAAAGACGCTGTTGTGCGCCACCGCGCTCGCCTTCTCCGACGTCGGCACGCGGGCGAAGCCGCCCTTCAGCACCACCCACACGGTCCCCCCGCGGGCGCACTTCCGCGACTTTTTGGAGCCTATCCGCGGCGGACGCCCCGTCGCACTCGCCGCCGCGGTCGCCGCGGGCGCCTTTTGCCGTTTTGCGTCCGCCCGCTGCGTGTTGCGCTGCTCGCGAGCGTTCGCCCGGGCCACGTGGAACAGCCTCCCCAGCTCCGCCAGGAGCGCCTTCTCATCCTGCAGAGCCCTCGCCCCGCCCTTCCCCATCGCCGCTGATTCCCTCTGCTCGACTGCCCCCCTTTTCGCGCGTGGTGGTGCGGGAGAGACGACGGCGCATGCCGCAGACGCGAGAAGAATTCGGGCGCAACGGCGCCAAGAAAAGCAAAAACAAAAAAAAGGCAGGCAGGCACGCAGAACAAACGCCCGTGCGCGGCTCCGCACAAGTCACGGCGTACAATAACAGACGAACGAAAAAAAAAAAAGCACACACACACACACAGAAGGAATAAGCCAACAAAAGGGAGAAAGCAAAAGGCAGGTCTTCGCCGAGACCACATAAAGCCAAAGTCGCAAAACAAATATGGGACTACAAGCGCAGCGGGGGGGGGGGAAGAAGCGCGCCTAAAGGAAATGCGAGAAATAAAAAAAAACAGCTGGAACAGTACTCAATATCAAGAATAAAATGCGCATACCGACCCACGCACACACTTCTTCGCGCGAATACGCGCGACTGCCTACCCGACTACGGAAAGCAGCGCCATGCAAACAGACAAACAACCGGGATCTTTTTTTTTCTGTTTTTTTGCAAAGTCAATGAAAGAGGCAAGCCCTTTCGACGCCTGCTTGCTTGCTTCCCCTTTCGTTTTCGTGTGTGCCTCGCTTCCCCTTCGCCCCGTCACATGCAAAGCGCACACCTGCATTTTGGCAGCACGCCCGTCGCTGAGCATCTGCAGCTGGATGCACCTCCATATACATTATATATGTAAATATATTTTTATGCGGATGTGCATGCATGTATATAAACAAATGCATAAGCACACACACACACAGACACACACACAGAGACACACACAGACACACAGACACACAGACACACACATATATATGTGCGTGTGTGTGCGTGCAAATACATCTACCACCCAAATTGATTCCCTCACGCAAAGGGGGGGAAAACAAAGAGAGAGAGAGACGCGAGGAGGACAAAAAAAGAAAAAAAACCCCACGGCTCCAATCGCGGCGCACCGTGACAAAGATGGCATGTCCCGACAAGAAAGCGGTGCGAAGCAAAAGGCAGCCAAAGCAAAACAAAACAAAAACAAAAACGAAGTAAAGATAAAAAGAAGAGGGGGAAAGAAAAAAAAAAAAAAAGTTTTTTTAGTACATACCCCATGCGTCAAGGCGATGCATTTACCCAAAGCAGGAGGAAACGCATTTGCAAAAAAAAAGGCAAAAAAAAAAAAGGACGAAATGACAAAAGAAAAATAAAAAATAAAAAAAAAAAAA